AGGTGTACTAGGATAATAACGGGACTGTTCATTGCCCCCATACCCCGCCCTCATTTCTTCAACTGGTCGCAGTGAACGGCCAGGAGTACTACGAGGGCTAGTATGTTCACGTTCAGATGAGAAACGTGGTCGAGAGGATGACGGAGCAGTGTTATGTCCGGGTTCCTGTCCAGAGGGGGAGGATGGAACACGTGGTCGTTTTACTGATCTTCGACCATTATTGGATGTCTGGACAACTTCACTAAATGACTTAGTTGACCTTGTCTCTTGTCCATTATACAGCTGACAATTAACTAAATAAAATAAATATAATGTACAACATTTGATATAGCGCCCTATCTAGCTCACATAAGCCACTCTAACGCGCTTTACAGTACATAGACAATTTTCTACAGTCACTACAATTAGCATATATATAATACAATATTAAGGAATTCGCAGGAGCTGCCTTATCAGGCGCCAACTACTAGTCTTATGCCACCTGGCTAATATCTCCCTATGTGTGTTTGCTGGAGATGTATTGTGTTATGTTTGTAGTGGGACCGTGCTTCCAACGGTATCATTTATAGTGCCACCTCACTTGATTGCTACAGCACAGATACCGCAACACCCACCCCAGACCATTTTATACTCCACCTGTGTTGGTGGAGTTGTATGGACAGGAGAAAAACACTTAACCTGAATATTCTATGCGTACGGCGACTTCGGGGATCGAACTCCGGCCGCTTGCTTGGAAGGCTGGAGTGTTAACCACTCGACCAATCCGCCCACCATTGCTATATAGTTTATCCCTCCCAAGCTTGACTTGATATCCTGCCCTTTTATGTGATCTTAGAATGGGATAAACTCTTCGTCGTTCATCCACGACATTAAGAAACTGTTCGTTAATCCAAAACCGTGTTCCTTTAAGGTAGTGTGCATTATTCCGAACTAACTGTTGTTCTTTTTGGAACATAAAAACTGCTACGATTGGTCGCCCTTTCCCAAATACTTGCTTGCCAAAACGATGGACATTGGTGAACTCAATATTTCTGTTGATAAACAACTTATAGTAGATAAAGTCTTTCAGTCTACTTTCGTTATCTTCATGTGAGCGTTCCTTCAGTCCATGGAATATCAGGTTCCTTTTCATTGACCTGCACTGTATGTCCTTTAATGTATCAAATATTGCCTTCTGGTTATCTTGAGTCCTCATCAGCACAGTCTTTATCTGTTTGGTGTTGGAGTCAACCTTCTCTACCGGTTTTTTCATATTTGTCATCTCTGATTTTGTTTTGCTGGTTGCCACTTTCATATCATCATACAGTCCACTGATCATTTCAACACTCCTCTCAAATTCAATGTTTTTTCTCTTTAACTTTGCAATGACTTTTGAACATCATCATTTTTTTGGACCTGTTGTTCAATTACACTCAAATTTAAAATACAGCTTGCCAACTACCGCTAAAGTTCTGTAAGTGAACTAACGATTCCAATCTCGCCGGTGGGAGATGGATTGTTTTCGTGTAGAACTGTCCGTGCACTTGCTAGCATTGTGGAAGTTTCAGTCATATTTAACTTTATAAATCCAATTTAAACAATATACACTGTATGTTAAGTTCACGACAGTTCACCACTACACCACATAGGTAAGCAGGCAAGTCCGTACATTGTAGGTAAGCGGGCAAGTCCGTACATTGTAGGTAAGCGGGCAAGTACGTACATTGTAGGTAAGCGGGCAAGTACGTACATTGTAGGTAAGTAGCACTGAGCACTTGTCAACTATACAGGTAAATCCCATTGTCTGTATATTTTATGTGGGTTGTCCTTCAAATGTCACTTATTACATGTTTATCACAGAAAATGATTTTAGGAATATGTAATACATACATCCTGCATATGTTCCATGTGTCCAACATCATGAAAATCCATTAGACATGTATGGGGTTATTTTCAAGGAATCTCTGAGCAGTCTAAAAACGTCTGTACTCCTGTCGATATTAATTATCGACAGTGATTATCCAAGAACTTGTTGCAAGACTAAGGTTTCCTGTCACCATGTCCACTACAAACGTTACAACAGAGGAATGTGTGAGTAGTTTATACAGGTAAGTCTACCTGTTGCGTACAGGTTTTTATCGGCAGTTATTATCCATCAATCATTATGAACTGGGTTTTCTTTTCCCATGCCATGTACATCGGTTTCCCTCCAATACTAGTTAAAATATTTATTAATAAACAAGCGTTGTCGCAATACAGAAAAATCGGTGCTCAATTACGGACGTATTATACTTGTTGTGGTTGATCGGACACATGACCGATAATGAATTTGGTTCAACAACATGATTTTAAAAAACAAAACAGAACCTAAGATAAGGTATATGCTCCGTTTCAAGTTTGCCAATTACAAATTTATTATCCGATAGTCATATATTTCTAGAGGTAAAATATATCAGCATATTATTTGATAATTTTTTACGATTCTACTGGTGTAAGCCTGTAGATGAGCAGTGCAAAAACACATAGTTAGATTTAGGTTAAGCTTACACAATTTTAATATAGAATAGGTCAGATATAGAAATCAGCAGAGAGAGCAAGAACCTGTGCATTATGTCAAACAAACGATAACGAGGATGAAGTTCATTTTATTCTCAAATATAATTTTTATAACAATCTTTGAAGTATATATATATTTAGCCATATTATTATAGACGACCAAGTGTGTTCAAAATGATACAATTATTTAGTGGTGTACAAAATGTAAACGAATCGAGTAAATGAGGTAAATTTATTTATTTATCGACAAAACAACGAAATGACGCTATACAGTTGTGTATGTTACAGTCTGTACCATTCTGGTCGTTTGAAACTACTTCCATAATTTTTAATATATCATTGAATTTTCTATTTTTACTTGAATAAATGACATGTGTAAATTATATTTCATTGCTAGATTACACTCATTGTATATGAAAGCAACACATACGCACAGTTAATTTATCTTGAATACGAGAATGCATGTGTCAGATGTTTACACACACTCTGTTGATTACACTATAGTTAATGATAGCACAGTATAATATAGTTAGATGCTTTTTATATAGAATGAGTGTAATCTAGCAAAAAAAGTTTTTGTGCGCTGTGTAAAAATGCAGACTGAACGACAAAAACTTGTACAATTATTTACTCAAGTAGTTGATATTTGCAAACGTATTCAAACTGTTAATTAAACATTTGCACTTGTAACGCTGTTTGTTGTGTTTTATTCGACTGCATTACAGGTTTCGTTACAAATATCTTATAAATACATATGCTTAGTATGCTGATGTGCTGTGATTCATATCAGTATAGCATATGTGGATGTATTTAAGATATTTGTTACGATCTCCTGTATATATGAAATTATAAATACGACATGGAGACGTCTGTACAACGTTAACAAAAAGTTACCCACAAACGTTTTGCGAACGTCACTTGAAAATGTCCCGCAAACTTTCATTTGCAACGTTACTGCTACCTAAATGCAACGTTGTGTCCTGACGTAACTGAAACGTTTTCATGACACTTTGTGCCCACTGGGGTATTTCGGTACTTTCTACTGTTACGATCGACATTAAATTTTGCATACAACTAGGTAAATGAATGAAATGTATGAATCAGAAGAACAAAGAAAACAATAAAAAATAATGAATTCCTGGGCGCGCGAAAACCTTCCTGTACACTCCCTGGACACTAATTAGGGTCACTCAGTGTTATCATGTCTAAAAATAATTATAACCACGGCAAAATAGCCGAACACCTGTTATAAACAGGATCACACGTGCACCCGAAAACCCTATGACGAGTCGAGTGTATGTGTCAACACAAACATTACTGACATCTCGTGAAATACATCAATATTATGAATATAACTGATAAATATGGAACAATTTAATCGACAAACATCACACATACAAACAGTTCTACTTTTACTTCTACATTATAATAACCGCCTTCAACAAGTTGAATATTATGTTATTTGGAGATCATTGCATAAGAAAGGAAAAATAAAAAAGTAAATAGATAAATATTTTTTTTTTTTAAAAACAGAATAAATAGGGATTATGGTAATTTAGCTATGGCTGATTTGAAGGCAGTTATTTTATTAAGTTCACAGATGTCTGGAGGGAGGCGGTTCCAATCAGATATTGTTCTTGGGGGAAATGACTGTTTTCTGACCTGGGTTTTACGAGAAGGTACTTGAAATGAATGAGCATGGGCGTGCCTGGTGAGACGTGATACGGACTTTAAGATGTCCATGGATATGGCTATTTGGTTGTGTAAATCTTATGGAAGGTACTGAGGCGCATATCCTTGCGTCTTTTTTTTAGTGATGGCCAGCCGAGCGTATTCAGCATTTCACCAACGCTGGACAAGTACAAGTTCTATTATGCACACGTAAACAGTTATCTGACTGTAACAGATACGCATACAGTATATAAACAAATGGAATTTGTGAATATTTCCGGCTATTTCTTATTCAATGGACGGCGTTATGGTAAAAAGATCGGGAAAGCTATAGGGGTTGTCTCCCCTTGCATGTAGCCGAGTACTTTTGGCGTACGTGGCCTCAGACCACAATTACACTTCCGGGTCGTTGTACTACGAATGTAGTGCATAAGGACATTTCAGATGGGTTATTAAATATTTTTTCCTGTCTGATCTATGACAAGTATGTACATTGTTTTACATAAATTGTTCAACAATATCTATTCTAGTGATTAAATTTTATTTGACAGATTCCAAGCTTGTATTGGCAGCAGGACACAATGAGTGATGATGCTTGAGTGATATTTTGTGATTTTTGGTAGTGACATTCAAATGAAATTATCTTTCTTAAAGGACGGTCATGAGGAACTTTCCAGCTCACTGTATGTTCAGTGTGAATAGACCTGCAGTATGAAATAGGAACCAGACCGTGCGCAAAGTTTTAAAATAATTTAATTTTGTTTTTTCTTTGGAAGTAACATATAAAAGAATTAACTGTGGTCTGAGGCCACGTGACAAATTGATATAAAATTTGAAATTAGAGTGCTGTCCCCTGTTTCAACCTCGTCAAGATTGGGTGGTGAGTTTGCTCCGATAATTTGTTATAAATTCATAGTAGGAATTGATTGCAACACAATTTTATAATACAGTTAGGTTGTTGGTTGCATAAATGAATTCGAAGTCAATGTGTGCATGTATGACAACCATGTTTTAGGGAGAAATGTGTCTGCCAGTCATTCGATAGGCCATGTCCGCGGCGAATGTTATATAACTACCGGGAGCTGTGCACGGTAAGGCACCTAATCGGAAGCCTCAGTATCGTATTTCTTAACCAGAAATGAAGTATGTGAAAGTGAAAGTAAGAGTCCTCAAATACACGTCTGGTTATAGCGGTATTTACATTATTTTAAAAGGTTAAGCATTAGAAGGTAGATGGGTGTAAGTGGGGGAGAAAGGGATGTTCCTATGTATTTCATAACTGAAGGAAAATGATCCTCCTGCATGCATGTATAACTATGAATTTAGTCATTACAACGTTTTATCTTGATTTTCTTCACGGATTTCCTCTAAATGTTTTAAAAGTGATTTGATAAAATTGTATTATTACCCGTACAAATGCACAGACATGTTATGGACATTTATTAACCGTTTCAGACTGGTTATAAACTTGTATTAACTATAACAAACATTTGGAACATTTATTTATTGTTTCAGGCTGGTTATCACAGACATATTAGGACCATCCTTTTAGGTCACCTGAGCTTTAGCGGGTTCATGAATACAGGTATGTAATTTTAAGACGCTTACAAAAATAGAGTAAGTTATTTCCGAAAACCGTACTTTCGTTTAACGGATTACGTTTGGACCATAGGATCTATTGTGAATTCGTTATTAAATATGGCCGGCCTAGTGATTAAATGTTGTTTTTGGCTAGTCTAGATCTTAGCAAAGTCTTTCCAGGTATGCATTTTTAGGTCACCTGAGACAAAGTCCGTCGTCCGTCGTGCGTCTGTAAACAATTTACATTTTCGACTTCTTCTCCAAAACCCCTGAACCAATTTCAATGAAATTTGGCAGGGACCTTCCATGGACAAAGGTCAACAAAAGTAGTTGCCGGTTTAGTCTTAAGCCCCCAGGGGCCTGAGGGGCGGGGCCAAAAAGGGTCAAATTGACTAAAATTTCAAAAATCTTCTTCTCCAAAACCCCTGAACCAATTTCAATGAAATTTTGCAGGGACCTTCCATGGACAAAGGTCAACAAA